CATGCCGTGGAGCAACTAAGCCTGTGTGCCACAACTACTGAGCCTGCGCTCTAGAGCCCGCGAGCCACAACTACTGAAGCCCACGCGCCTAGAGCCCGTGCTCTGCAACAAGAGAAGCCACCACGGTGAGAAGCCTGAGCACCGCAACAAAGAGTAGCCCCCGCTTGCCGCAACTAGAGAAAGCCAGTACATAGCAATGAAGACCCAATGCAGCCAAAAATAAATAAATAAAAATTTTAAAAAAAGCACAATCTTTAGGCCATGTTATCTGGCCGTAGTGTAATAAAATCAGAAATTGCCTAACAAAAGATAACCTATAAAACCTTAAGCATTTGACACTCTTCTCTAAACAGCACTTGGGACAAAGAGGCATCAGCATCTGAAGGTTATAAAACTACACTGTCTGCCACTGTCGGGGACACTGGGGTCAGCTGCCAGGGTGGCCAGGGACACATTCAGAGGGGAGTGATCACCCCTCTCCATATTTTCATTTGCAGGTAAGGAGAATGGACAATTAATGAGTTAATCAACTCAAGATCTTAGAAAATATTAAACCCCTTCCTCCCAGAAGGAGGAAGCAACCTGCAAAAAGTAAAATTTAATGAGCCAGAACACATTTTTAAAAAATCTGATAAATAAAGCCAGTTCTTTGAAAGGACCCATATGGCTACTGTGATGTGGGGGGAGGGAGGAGCCAAACACGCACTTGGCATCACAGGAGAGTCGAGGCAGCACCACGGGTGGGGGAGTGGTGAGGCCAGGGCGTGAGCAGGAGGGCGGATGGCCAGCAGGCAGACCCTGGGCTGCAGGACTAACAGCAAGTCTCTGGAAAATGGGTGGTGATGAACCTGCCTTCAATGGCCAGGGTGCCGGCACCCAGGAGCCTCCACAGTCAACTGCAATGCTGTAATTATTAATTATACTGTGAACTGAAAAGGCAATACTAGTCCAACATCTACACAATTTTATAAAAATAAAAGGTTATTTCGAATATTCCAGACAAAACACCCCCAAAAGGATTCAGGACTGGAAATATGAATCACAGCCACAAAATGCTTCTTTGGTATTCTAGAATTCTGCATATTCTGTTTTAGAAGCAGAAACGGGTACTAGATGGGAAAAATTTAGAACAAGCAAAGTGTTAATAATCATGTGAACAAGAAAAAAGTCTTTAAAATATATTTTCTTTTAGGTTCCACTAAGTAATTTTCACTGGATATTACCAAGTGAAAAAAAGAGAAGGGCAGAAATGCATATACTATGGCCCGCCTGGTCTGTGCTTGTGTGCAGATCCAAGCAGACTCCAGGGTAAGGAAGGCATGACCAGGTAGGTGGTTACTGTGGGGATGGCACCTTCAGTCTCCCCCGGCTCCAGCCCCTCACCTGCTGCTCCTTCCCCTCCAGCAATGGACAGTGACCACTGGGCAGCACGTCTCCTGCACTTCATTCCCCATGACCGGGAGGGGGATGGAGAGGAAAGAACAAGGCCACACTGGCCCACACCAAGGAGGAGACTCAGACCAGAGGGGGCAGGCGGGTGCCGGGAGCCCCCAGCAGGGAGGGTCACCAAGGGCCACTCACAGTGAGAATACTAATGGCGCCTGTTTCCCTCACTTTGGAAATGACCACCTTTGCTGGTTCACATGGCGGCTCTGAGAGTCACCTGATCCAGGCTCTCTGTCCTTTCTAAGAAGGACACGACAAGACATGAGATCAAGACCGACACTGCCTAGCAGAGCTCACATTCCAGGGGGTAGGTTGGAGGGCCGGGAAGGGGTCAGCAGGGACAGGCTCCCCGGAAGGGTCTGCAGCCTGGTGAGCTCACAGGACAGGGCGGCCGCGGCTGCCTCTGATTACGGGAATAATTTAATCACAAGAAACTGCTTTATTGGACATGGGGCTGGAGGGAGAACTAGACGAACCATGAATTAAAGTGGAGGATATGAGAACCAGGCGAATCTTGGAGCCGGGGCCGGTGAGGGTCTGGAAACGGTTTGGTGGCCCTGCTGTGGCCAAGGCAGCTCTGAGCTACGAGGCTGGCTAATCGCTTCCTGCAGGCAGGCTCCACTCCAGCACCAATGGGTTTTAATAAAAACTTCCAATTGGGTCAGTAAACCCCTCATTAAGCTGTTTTCAAAGCATGAATTTAAGAGAGGTAAAGGTCACAGGGAGCATTTAATTTGCAACGGCTGCCGGGAGGTGCTGCTGTGACAGGGGATGTGGGGTCTGGGGGTGCAGGCCGCGTAAACATCTGACCTGCCCTCGGCCCGCCTGGAAACAGACTCAACACACAGGAGTGAGGGTGGCCCACTCGGCAAGAGCACAGCAGAGCAAGGCACCAAAGGTATGGCGGCAGGTGACAGACCTAAACACGGCCTGTCTGCTCGCGTCCTGCCCGCAGCCCAGGCTCTCCACGCCCCGCACAGGAGGCACGGCCCCACTACACAGCAGCTCCGCTGCCAGACACCTACCTGCCTAGGATGCTGCTTGCCTGCCCCGCCTCCCCGGCCTCACCCACACGGGCCTCCGCAGCCTGGCCGTGTTTATTTTAAATGCTGCGATCCACTCCATGCACCTGCAGAGAGGACCTGGTGTGCTCCCGGCTCACATGGCACACACAATCCGAGTGGTCAGCCCTCACCGTCTCTGTTGTGGTCCTGTTCCCTGACCCTGCAGTTCGAGGCGGGACCCCAACACTTGCCCAGTCCCAAGGAAGACTGTGCACTAGCTGACACAGTTTTCACGTTAGGCTAAATCAAAAATTCATCCACTGAGCTTCTCAATAAAACCAAGGATCCCTAAATGTCCAATTCTTGGCCTGATGAGCCTACAGTAAAACAGTGAACACTTATCCTCAAAAGGAACATCCTGGGCATGGAGACTTTCGGAATCCTTCCTTAAAATTCCCTCTTCCCCCTCCCTCCCCACCAGAGTTGAGAAATAGGGAAATATGTCCCTTAAGAGAAAACTCCTAAGGAGTGAATCAAACGCACTTATGTTGTGCCTGTCAGGACAGCAAGGCTCCTGACAGATGAATCTCAGTGCTGAAAAGTGGAGACAGGGATGAAGGTGCCTGGAGGTCACTTGCCTGGAGGTCACCTGCTGGGAGGTCATCCCTGAAGGTCACCTGCCAGGAGGTCACCACCTGGAGGTCACCTGGAGGCACCATCTGCACACACTGAGGTCCCTCAAGATAAAATCAAATCAAAGAAGTTACAAAACATTCACTCCCAAGGCCTCAGGAGCCATGAAAGAAGGAGTGAGGCCTCAGGAAAGCACTAGCATCCCCATGTCTGTCTGTCTGTCTGTGTGCCTGGGCGTGAGGACCCTGGTAGATGGCCAAGAGCCGGAGCCGAGGAGATCCCGACCTGGGCCTGGCCAGCGTGCATCACCCATCCTCCAGTGGGTTGGCCTGTCCCTCTGGCGCTCTCGCCTGCCCAGGCCTGGGAGGGGCCTGCCTCTGAGCGTGGACTCTGCAGAAGCACTTGGAGGGAATCACAGGTCAGCCCGGAGAAAACGACTGAGGTGACCCTTCACTCACCCTGACCTGAGCACATGCGGGCAGAGGGGAGTCCCTTCCTGGAGCCTCCCTCCCTATGGCCCCGCCTGGAGCCCCACAGGAGTCAGCCTTGGGCCAAGAGCAGCCTCGTCCTGGGGGAAAAGACCAGAAAGCCCTTCCTGGAAGCCTCAGCTAAGCCAGGACTGCCAGATTCCTGCATAGTTTTCAAATGCACAGGGACCAGCATGAAGTTCGAAAAAGGCTCCCAGCCCCAAGCTCGCAAATATCAAAAAAGCACACTTCCTGCAGGGGAGCAGGAAACAGGCCGCACTTACAGGGCACAGAATTTTAGACCTATTTTTTGAAGTAAAAGTTGCAACACTAGTGGCCTCCAAAGTGCACAGCAGAGAGTGCATGGTGGTGGGCACCACGGTCTCCTGTGTTCACACGGCCTCTCCTCACCCAGAGTCCCCTCGAACAGAACTGAAAACAAATGCTATGCACTGCTTTGCCTCTTGTTGATGTAATAACTGTGAGACAGTCAACGAATCCCGTCTCCAGCTCCTAGTCTAGGCCACAAGCTCCAAGTCACCCGTCATACTTGTCACAGGAGGCCCTGCACGGCTGGTAAGGGAATGACCTTTAAGGAATGAAGCGCGAAGACAGTGACCTCTGATGCAGGGGGCATGCGCCTCAGAGGCCAGGTGGAGACGGTGAGGGGGGCAGCCCTGGACCCCAACTGCCTACCGTGCATGGAGGGAGAGGTCAGCATGGGAGCAGGAGGGGTGGGAGGGCACTGGGCTCCCATCCCACCCGACATGGATCTTGGTGCCCCGGGGAACCCCTGCTTCTGCTTCCTGAGCCTGGGAGGACCCTTGAGACGCGTCAACTGCTGAACCCGCTATGTCCCCAGGGCTGCCCAGAGGCCCCGGGGTCGAGACCAGCTGCGCGCTCAGCCTGCCTGATCACTCCCGGCCACGTGCTCAGAGCCCTGCGCCTCTACTGGCTCGGGAGCCTCTGGGGCTGTGCTGCTCACAGAGCACAGGTGGGACCTGAAGTCTCCCCACAGAGAACCAAGCAAAACCTGAGACTGTGGGGCACCCAGGAAACTTGCGCTGCATGGGGTGTCCCCGGGGACGCCTGGGAGTGGAGAGCAGGCCTGCAGGACACTGCAGTCCTCATGCCACAAGTCCCTCCATCACCAGAAGGGTACAACCAATGACAATGTCCTGGGACACCCCACTGGGTGCCCATCACCAGTATGAAAACAGATGTCAGCATATGAGGGCATGACAGATGGAGGCATGACAGTAGCATTAGTCCCCCATCTGGTGGAAGGCCGTGGGTGAGGATGCAGGTCAAGGGCAAATGGGTTATCAGAGAGAGACGGTGCAACCACAGAGAACGAGAGACGCCAGCACGAGAAGCCAGGACACGTGCAAAGATACATACCCCAGATTACCTCTAACATGGTAGGCTATCCTAAGTGTCTGCCACTTACCAAATGAATACCTGAAAGACAGAAGGGGAAGAATGTATCAATTTAGGACGGCTTTACCAAAAACTTCTAATTTAAGCATCATTTCACCCCGCTAAAGAAAGATTAACACAGTGTCTCCAAACAGAACGGGGACAAGTTACAGAGGTCACCACATTACTGAGGTACAAGGAAAAAGTGAGGGAAGACATGCACTCAGGTGACAGAGTAGAGGGGCAGCTGAGGGGATACCTGCCCTCAGGTGACTGAGTGGAGGAGACCTGTATTTGGGTGTCTGAGTGGAGGTGAAGGTTAGGGGAAAAGTCACCTCAGGTGTAAGAGTAGAGGTGAAGCTAAGGGGTGACCTATCCTGAGGAGTCTGAGTGGAGATGAAGCTGAGGGGAGACCTGGTCTCAGATGTTTGAGTGACATGAAGGTGCAGGGAGACCTGCCCTCAGGTGTCTGAGTGAAGGTGAAGGTGAGGGGAGACCTGACCTGAGGTTCCTGAGTGGAGATGAGGGTGAGAAGAGACCTGTCCTGAGGTATCTGAGTGGATATGAAGGTGAGTGGAGACGTGCCATCAGGTGACACAGTGGAGAGAAAGCTAAGGGGAGATACACCCTCAGGTTTCCAGGTGGAGATGAAGGTGACGGAGACCTTCCCTCTAAGGTCTAAGTGGAGGTAAAGGTGAGGGGAGAACCTCCTACAGGTGTCTGAGTGGATGTGAAAATGAGGGTAGACCTGTGCAGAGGTGTGCGAGTGGAGGTGAAGCTGAGGGAAGACCTGTCCTCAGGTCCCTGAGTGGAGGTAAAGTTGAGGGGTGACCTGCATTCAGGTGTCTGAGTGAAGATAAATGTCAAGGGAGACCTGTCCTAGGTCTCTTAGTAAAGATGAGGTGAAGGGAGACCTGCACTCAGGTGTCTGAGTGGAGGTGAAGCTGAAGTGGAGACCTGTCCTGAGGTGTCTGTGTAAAGGTGAAGAAGAGGGGAGATATGCACTGAGGTTTCTGAGTGGAGGTGAAGCTGAGGGGGCACCTGCTCTCAGGCGTCTGAGTGGAGATAAAAATGAGGCGAGACCAGCCATCAGCTCTCTAGTGGAGGTGAAGCTGAAGGGAGTCCTGCCCTGAAGTGTCTGAGCAAAGATGAAGTTGAGGGGAGACATGCTCTGAGGTGTGAGTGGAGGTGAAGCTGAGGGGAGACCTGTCCTAGTTTACTGAACTTGGGGTGCACACCTTAGGTACCCAGGTAACTGTCATTGACAGTAGTGTTTCCTATTTGCCCCATTGTACAATCACACTACAGGGCCACGCCCACAACAGGGTATCAATAAACATGTTTGGAAAAGTAAATGTAATACTGTTCACCCTTGAACAATTTGGCATTTAGGCGGGCTATTCTGCAGTGGAGGTTTTTTTTAGATCGGCCCTCTCACTGCAGGTTGAGTGGTTTCCTCATAGGTTTTAGTGAGAAACCTGTGTAGAAGTGGACTCAACGCAATTCTGACCCATGCATTCAGAGGTCAACTGTACTTGGTTTTACTGCAGTTAATAATTTCCTTCAAACACCATGAAAATGTCCTACCCTAGAATCTTTAATTTCAAAGGACACCCCATTACCACGAGCACAGGTTATTAGAAAAGCAACCCTAAATGGAGGATATGTCAGACATGCCTTCCCTGTGGAATCTGAGCGAGCTGGGGGTCTTCGCCCACAAGGGCTTCCAGGACACACCCCTGGGGAGCACAAACATGTGTATGGACCCCAGGTCATGGAAAAGAACCCCACAATGTAACACAAGTGGCCCTGGCTGGAATCACAGTGGCTCCAGAACACATTCCTCACACCTGTGAATCCTCTGCCCATCACTCTGCCCAAGTTAACACAACACCCAGCAGGAGGACCCGAGAATACAAGGGACACAACTGTCTCTAACTGACTCTGCAAGTGATCAGGAGTGAAAGGAGCAAGGCAGCGGTCCCAGCTACACTGTGGATGAGCCATGCAGCGCCTTCTCAGTGATGGCAGCTGCACAGGGAGGCCGCATAGGGTGACTCCATCTGTGTGAAGCAGCCGGAGCAGGCATGCCCGCACAGACAGGAAGCAAGAGCGGGTGCCAGGGGGTGAGGACGCAGGCCCAGGCTGATGAAATGTTTTAGAGGCAGATGGTGATTGTTCTTACACGTGTTAAATGGTTACATTTTATGGTTTGTAAATAAAGATGTTAAAAAAAAAAAGTTGTCTGATTAAGGAGGTGTGAATGAAACGATACGAAGTCTGAGATTTGCTGGAAGCTCCCAGTGAGGGGAGGGAAGGGCAGGGTGCGGGGTCGCGAGGAGGGCGCCCTGACTGCCTGTTTCCCACACAAAGCAATTTCCCACCTGAGAAGGCAGGACACAGACCCTGCAGGCCAGGCAATAAAGAACATGGTGAGGCCAGGGCCCTTCCTCACTGAGTAGGGGCGTTTTAACAATCCAACCCAGAGAGATGCTGGCTTCCTACAGGGAAAGCTGCACAGAGGAGTGAGGACAGAACGAGCACAGAACATGGGCTTGAGCGCTCTGCGTTACTCCCTCTGCTTCTGAGCAGGATTCTGAGTTTCCATAATAAAAACCTATAAACAGCCAGTGCACACACTGGCTAATGCGACAAATAAGTTTACCCAGTAAATTCTCCCAATAAACAACCTTGGTGAGCAGAGAAAAGGGAAGGGGCTGACTTCTTTTTTTTTGCGGTACACGGGCCTCTCACTGTTGTTGCCTCTCCCGTTGCGGAGCACAGGCTCCGGACGCGCAGGCTCAGTGGCCATGGCTCACGGGCCTAGCCGCTCCGGGGCATGTGGGATCTTCCCGCACCGGGGCACGAACCCGTGTCCCCTGCATCAGCAGGCGGACTCTCAACCACTGCGCCACCAGGGAAGCCCAGGGCGGACTTTTAAAACCTCACAAACAATGGACGTTTTACATTTTCATCAGAACCAACTGGAAGAGACTGAAAGCTAACAGGACAGAGAAGGCCTGGCCCAGCTCCCACCCACAGCCTGGCCACCAGAACAGTGTCCCCGTGGACACCGGCGACGGGCTTGTGGCATCACTGCTGTCAAATTTGCTGACGGCATTTGGAAATGCGTTCTCTCCTAACTTCACCTGTTTTGAATTTTAAATTTCAAGGCTGCTTGATATAAGATTTTTAAATATAGGCAGTTATATCTAATCACATGAAAAGTTAAAAAGTATTCATTAGACTTTTACAGCTTTTATTATATTTTTAACAGCTGGAACTTATTTTAGAAGAGATGGCTGTCCACGGAACTACTTTGGGGGATGGTCTGTTGTTTTGTTCTTTAAAGAAACTCAAGTCCTCCCTGGTCTAAGAGTTCCAGATTTTGCTCCCAAATGGTCTGTATTAACGCCTTACCTCCAACTGTCTGTTAGTGACAGGCCTTCCCCCGTCAGAGGTGGCCCACAGCCCACTGACCACTCATCTCCACGGCAAGGAAGCCAGAGAACCAAGAAGGGAGGGGTGTGTGTGCCAGGCCTCCTCGCGCCCATGTCTGCAGCCCTAGGCCTTGAGCTACCCCAGCGACCTCTATGCAAGGCTCCTGTTTTACAGAAAGCCTCTGATTAGAAAACTAAAGCAGTTCCCAGTGATTTTTCACTTTGTAAGAAGGCATCATGGATAAATATTTTATTTTTATTTTATAAATTTTTTAAAAAGATTTATTTATTTATTTTTGGCTGTGTTGGGTCTTTGTTGCTGTGCACGGGCTTTCTCTAGTTGCAGTGAGCAGGGGCTACTCTTCGTTGTGGTGCACGGGCTTCTCATTGCGGTGGCTTCTCTTGTTGCAGAGCACAGGCTCTAGGTGCCTGGGCTTCAGGAGTTGTGGCTCGCGGGCTCTGGAGTGCAGGCTCAGTAGTTGTGGCGCACGGGCTTAGTTGTTCCGCAGCATGTGTGATCTTCCCGGACCAGGGCACGAACCCATGTCCCCTGCAGTGGCAGGCGGATTCTTAACCACTGCGCCACCAGGGAAGTCCTGGATAAATATTTTAGATTGCTCTCCCCTGGCTGTGGAGGGGCAGCTGTGAATTTGTAGAATTCTCCCACTTTCTTGCCTGGCACAGAGCGCTTCTCGAAGGCCCACTCGGGAAGCAGGTGGATGGGAATTCATGATAAAGCATGTTCTTCCAAGCCGTGCCCATGAGTGCTGCGTGGAGACGGCTGAACAGAAGCAGGGCAGGACAGAAAGGCCAGAGGGGGTGAAGCAGTGGCCCGACCGATGCAGCCAATGGGTGACTGCCCCCCCCCCCCGCCCCCAGTCCAGGAACATGGTCTGTCTTGGGACCCGCTACGTCTTGGCACCGTCTGAGAGAGCAGAGAAGGCCCGTGTCAGTGTCCGATGACCGTGGGCAGCAGTGAGCCACTCCTTCGACAAGGACATGGGGCTTCCCCAGGGGACAGGGCCCTGCTGCACGGCCACACGGCAGAAATGGCACCATGCTGCTGCCCGGACCTCGCAAAACCGTAGCAGGAATTCATTTCTACACATCAAATCTATCTACACCCGTAAAAGCACCTGGGGCTACGGGCAGGGGCAGCCGTGGACATCAACTGCGTTTAAGGCCAAAATAAAGTTTTCATCCTCAACAGTCTGAAGGCGGCCGCTATGCAGGGGTCCCCTCCGCACCTCTGCAGCCCTCGGGCATCTGCTGCCGGCACTCTTTGAAGTTGATACTCTGTCCCTTCTGCCAGAGGAAAGTGCCAAGGTGGCTTCCTCTGCAGGAAGGGACCTCCGGAGCCCCCGACCTCGCTCCAAGTTTCTAGAGATAATCCTTTCTTCTTTGTGGGGGCCGGGAAGGTGGGAAGAGGAAAGGACGGCCACACGGCCATCCTTAAGAGCAACAAAGAAGCCCTTTAGGATTCCTGTCAAAGCAAAGCACAGATAACAGAACCAGAAATCCAACTTTTTGGGAAAGTTGATACTAACTGAAGAAACTGGAGAAGAAGGGACAACTCGGGCTTCCGATGCCATTTGAGCAGGA